CCGGCTGTTGATCTGCACCTTTCCCAGCGCTGGCCTCAGAGGGCCTTGAGCCAGATTTCTATGTCTGCTGCCCCCGAAAAGCAGTGTGGCAGCCCTAGGGTTGAAAGTACATTTTCAACAGCTTTCTTTCCCACTTAATTTAAGTGCAGTGTTGTTAGCTTGTTCTAATCAATAAATGGGCATCAGAACGTTTACGAACTAGGTAATATCACAGCAAGGCCAACAATTTCTATACGGCCTCATTGCCAATACGGGAGACCGTGAGAGCCACCAACCAGAAGCTGTAAATGCCATTCCCTGCTCTAGCTATTAGCCTCTCTTTAGATTTGATTTTTTTTCTCAAGTGCAGGGAAGAGTATCAGCAGGAACCTGGTGAACCCCCAGAGCTGCCTCCTGCTATGTACGTGAAGGGGATGCCAAGGAAAAGCCCCATCTCTGCTGCACGCACTGCAGAGGAGCTCAGGCTCAGGCTGGACTCGGGACTTACAGGTGCACATGTGACGATCACTCAAACTGGCCACAGGACCCTGATGGGAGGAGGGCTCGGTGCCTCCTTTCCTGGGGAGGCAGTGGCCCGGGGTGAGCAGCAGCCGGGAGGGCAGAAGACCTGTGCCCCGTGAAGGCTGGAGGGTGGAGGCCGAGGGGGGCTGGCATGATTAGCCCTGGCTTGGCTCTCTGAGAGGGAGTTTTCATGTTAAAGGGCCGTTTCTGGTGAGGACCTGAGGTAATGATGCTGTTCACTTCCTCGTGGTCCAACCGCCTTCCGGGACTCCCACAGCCTCCCCTGGAAGCACACGGCACGGTGAGACTGTCTTCCATGACACGGGGTGGGGGCAGGGGGGAAATTCATTCATCTACCCTGGAAGGGCCTTTCCTGTGACTCTCTGGCAGGGCTTTCAGGAGAGACCCTTTGGAAAGAGGGTGTTCAAGAGATACACAAATAAAAGAATCCTTTCTGAGGCTTTGGAATACGCACCAGCAGGGTTAACAAATGCAGATTTTACTACTGTCATGCAACTGGATTTCATAGCTACAAGCTAATAGCTGTGACAGAGGAATTATTAAAGTGTTAAACATTTCATTTAAAAGGGAACACTGCAGTCACTTTGAAAAGAAAACTCAGAACTCATCTGTTGAAAACCATCATCTGTGAGAAGACAGTGGAAGGAGCAGCTGGGGTCCACCCCCGTCCGCACCCACCCACCGGGCTCACACGGCCGCACACGCTGCGGGGCTTGCACTGCGGGGCTGCCTCCTGGGGGGCCATCCAGGGAAGAAGCACCCACCCCAGCCTGGCAGAGCAGGCACAGAGGCCCAGGCACCCTGCTCCGAGCACCTCGACAGGCAGAGGAGTGGAGAAGGGGAGGAAAGCGTGTGCACACATCCTGAATCTGAAAGCTGGTCTCAGTTTCCCCCAGGTCTGCTTTTCCCGAACTCTGTGAAATTGCACTTCTGGCAAAGTGCTACTTTTATCTTTTTACCTGCTTTGCCACAGACTACGAAGGCGACATGAAGATGCATATTTATACAATGGAGCAACGTTACTTTTAATAAGTAAATATAAGGCTAGAAAATATTAACAGGAAAGAACTTCAAACATATCTCATTATAAAAGAAACGTTAAGATTTCAAGACCAACGGCTTCATTCAGTAACTATTTCTTGGAGAAAAATGAATTCAAAATAATGCTGACCTCTGCAAAGACTTGATGGGGGGGCACCTGACCTCCCTGAAATGCCTCATTGTGCCCCCAGACTGCTGTTTCTCCATCAGACTGGTTACAACAAATGGTCCAGCCGATACTTTAATAAAGCAGATAAGCAAAAAGCAAAACCCCCCTAAACTCTAAAACCAACACACAACAATTTTTTCTTAGAAAATGCCCTCCACCAGAAACACAATCTCACAAGAAAATTAAAACACATCTTATTCAACAGCCACTTTTCTTGTAATCTCCTGAGCAGCACCCTGAACCTCACTCCCAGTAACTGCAGCCTTTTCCCTCGGAGGAACCCTATCTGCAGTGGCTCCAGGAAAAGGGGGCCACACACACTTCCAGACCTGTGGTCACGAAAGACAGCTTCACGGCTCCTTGGCTGAAAAACCCAGGCAATTAACTTGTTACTCATCAAAACTGGGAGGATTTCTGAGATACGAAGTTGAACTATGTGAAATTTCTAGTATTTGTTAAGTTTTTTAACCTAACAAAAACTGTAATTTCATATGGTTTACTTCAGCGCACGTGTGTGACCAGCCTTAAAAAATGAACCACTGGTGAACAGGGTGCTCACCTCATGGAAGATCCTGAAATGGCGAAGCGGTCTTGCCCACAGACAAGAGGGGCTGGCAGAATGCGGCGGAGGGCTGGCCCCTGGGGGCCCCCAGTGCACAGGCCAGTGCCTGAGGACGAGCAGGTTAAGGCGCTGGAGCTCAAGGGTGAGCTCTGTCAGGATTACGTTTTTAGAACAAGTTAAAATAGGCAGACCTGGTCTAAATCTCAGAGGTGAGACCATGCTGAAAACATGATACGCAAAAGCATGTTAAACGTGTCCAAAAATTAAGATGCACAGAAAACAGAATTTGTTAAAAAAACACTTATTCCACATTAAAATGTACCCACGCCTCCCAGTTTGTGAAGGTTTCTTTCTTTATGTTAATGCAGTGTCTAGAGGTCTCTAAGGTTGCCGGAGGGTTTTCCTTGCATGGGACTTACCCACTCACCATGATTTCACTGGTGCTACAAGATACAAAGTAGAAACAGAGCAAAGCCAGCCACCACTGGATAGAGGGGTGTTACCACATCTGGGGGTTAGTGCCAATTAACTCCGTGTTAGCAATTGTATTATAACCATCCACCACCTCCCTTCTTAAACCGTAAAATCCCCACACCTGGTCCCTGCCTGGGAGTAAGTGATTGAGCTAAATTAGAAAAACCTGGCTTGCACATGCTACGGCGTGGGAAACCCTGGCCGGCGGCAACCACTAAGTGTCAGGAAGCAGGGCTGGCCCAGGGGACCCTGTCCCGAGGAGGGTGCTGGAGGCTGTCTCCCCTAAACCTGGCTAAAAGGACCTGGCCCCAGTTGGAAGCACCCGCCAGCACCGTGGGGCTCGTCCAACAGGGAAGAGCTTCTAGCTGGGTCTGGATGGCCCCATCCTTACCCCAGCAGCTGCTTCCGGAGCGTTCCGGTCACCCACACTGACCACGGGGGCTGGACGAGGAGATGGGCTGGCCAGGGCCCAGCGCCAGGGAGGCAGGGTCAGTGTGGCCAGTCCCAGCCCTCTTCAAACACTGAGGACAGGACCTCAGGATTTTATAAGCTCACTTCCCACCTCCCCCTTCGATCATACAGATACCTCCTGCCTTGGTTTTCTAATTTTTCTGTCCTGAAAATTTCGAAACCTTAAATTTCCGCTCACTCTTCAATAGCCTGCAAGAGAGGAAAGCCAGTCGCGCAATTCTTTCTCGCTCCTAGCAGCACAGTCCTCTCCAAGTGATGACTGTGGACAGCAAGAGTTCAGCGCACCAGGATTCCCAAGCCCCAACTTCAGAAGCAAAGCCACACCTGAGTTCCTCAGCCCACGCAGCACACGGAGGTCACACCGCGCTCCCTGCGGTCTCCATGCAGCCGGCTGGCTCATGCCCCTGGAGAGTGGCGGTGGCCCCATGGGCCCATCCAGGACGTGGCATGTGCCCAGTGACATGCCGAGGCCCACTGGAGCGCCACGGCCCTCCCAGAGACCGTTCTGAATGACACGGGGGGCTCATAAGGGGCCCTGGCCATTACACTTTGTACCGTCACAGTTCGTTATGTGCGGAAATGCTTGGGGTACTTACTATCTGTTCACTTGTCTGACCTTGTTAGTCAACGCAGGTATTAGCTCAACTTTCCAGGAGCTCCTCCAGCCCCTGCCCCTGAAAATCCTACTCCACTTTCAAGTTTCTTTTTGCTGAAAATCATAGCAGCTACTAGAATGCCATTAAACTTATTTAGGATACTCTGTCTTGAAATTCAGGATTGCTTTAAATTTACGTTAAAGATAGACTTATTTTAGAGGGAGGGGTGGAGGGGCAGAGGGAGAGAGATGCAGAATCTCAAGCAGACTCCACATTAAGCATCCCATGTGGGACTCGATCTCACAACCCTGAGCTCATGACCTGAGCCGAAACCAAGAGTCAGACGCTCAACCGACTGAGCCACCCAGGCACCTCTAAATTTACCTTATCTAAAGTCTCAGGGTAGTATTTTCCCTTGAGTATATGTGTGAATACATCTATATATATTTGTGTACACATACACATGCATTTATCTTAAAATGAGTATATAAAATCACTATGCAAAATAAACCTCCGGTATGTGTCTAGAATAATTTTAGTTGCCATAATTAAGGTCCAAACCAGAACTTAAAAAGAAGCACTGGGAAAATGTTTTTTGGTGACCACAGACCATGGCCTTAAGCCTGCGACATTTAGGCAGTAAGTTCTCAATTCATGTTTAAGAACACAGTATCTAACCATGGCAAGTTTGAGAAATTAGATTGAAAACTTATCCAAGACGAACCCAATGGCGCTACCCACTCTGATGTAAATGTCACCAGCCGAGTTTATGGAAGTGGCTAATTGTCCATGTACAAGCCTCATTTTCTGTGCTGTTGGCAAGCAGATAGTTTAAGTTAACAATAAGCTTATTGAAAAATTCACTGCTATTCAGATGTGTTCCTATTTAAACCTTTCAGCCAACAAGAGTCAAGAGTCGATCTGCATGCATCATTTTTACTGCCTTTGCCAAGAATTACGTGACCACGTGCCAAAACTAACACAAGCATTTGGAATGGGTGGAGATCACGAACTCTTGTCCTTATAGCGTGGCCACATGCTGTCTCTGTTTAGATGATGTAAAAATACCAAGTCAGTAGAGTCGATAAAATGGGCTGTGATGTAAGTGATAGTTAATCAGTCAAGCTCCCTGAGCGAAACCCTATGAGGCGGCGGAGTTACTGACCTCGCTGGAAAACGGGATGGTGAATCGCAGGCAAGGGGAGGCCTGGGAGGACCTCGGGCTCATGGAAATAGGCATTCAGCCAGGCCACGCACTGCACCAGGGGCTCCGTCATTTCCTCTGGACGGCCGAGCAGCTCAGGAAGAGTGGGGGCCTCCGTGGGTCTGCAAAAGTGATAACAAGAGGGTAATAAACCTCAGGCCCTGAGTCCACACAAAGCAGTTTCCTGGGTATGGTGCCCATGGCCGTGCAGCGGTGGGCAGGTGCCTTCCAGCCACGTTTCCACCTTTAGCTCTAAGAAACACAACTCCTCTTTGAAAACAAGAGGCGACTCCAGGAGGAACATCCCAGTACACAGGCTCTGCTCCTTGGGGCTCTGAAGGTCCGCAGTCCTGTGAAGCAGGATGTGACAGCGCCGGGACAGCAAGCACAGAGGCAAGCCCAGGGGGCGCGAGGCTGCCCCACTGCAAGGCTAACAGGTGCGCGCGCGCCTCTATCGTTCGTCTGTAAAATCACATCTTATCAAAAACATCTTCCAGAAATACTACCAAAGTGATCAACCTGCATTTTGATCACCCCGCCCCTCCCACTGAATTTCAACAGAATGGCATGTTTGGGATTTTCTACCGATTGGGGCTGCATTCTGGGGGATTTCCTCGCAGTTTGCTTTCGGTCCACGGAGTCTCATGCTTCAGAGTGTCTAATCTGTGTGTGGGTCCTTCTGGGAGGCTAACGTCAGTCACTCAGCTCTGGCTTCTGGCTTTTTTTTTTTTTTTTCCAAATTCCCGTGTTCATTCCTTATGGTCACTTCTTCCTTTTATCTCAAGTTTAAACCAACATACTTTAGACTTGATTCAGTTTGTTCCTTGCCCTCAGGGTCTGATTCCTCCATGTGTGGGATCTGGTAGCGGCCTCTCACAGAGCTGACTTACCTTCAGCAGGTGCCGAGTCTCTGGGGATCCGCTCTGCTGGAATGAGGAAACATCCCTGCTTCTGAGCCCTAGTTTTATGACGGATCCAATTTTTATTTCAATTTCCTAGAACCCCACACCCACAAAAGCGCTGGCATCAAGTCTGATTTCTTCAGCTGACTTTCCTTCCTTCCCTTCCAAGGCCCTGGACAGGTGGCAGGCTTCCTAGCCACTTTCTGGGCCTGGAGGGCAGAGTCTGTCTAGTATTCTCAGATACTGAAGGTTTGGGGTAGGGCAGCCACAAGCAGCTCTTCCTGACCCTCCATACCTCACTCTCTGTGTGTTAAGGATGGGGGCGCATGCACATCAAACTATAGGCTGCCTGTGTCACCTCGTACCCACCACCCGAGGGTTTGAGTGGGGAGGCCACCACTGGCTGGGCCATGTGGTCCAGCACGGGGACGTCAGGGTGACTGAGGCCCCCGGGAGCATGCACAGGCTGTTGCAGATCCAGAAGCCTGTGTCCTTCAGAGCAAAGAGAATAACTGAAGACCTCGAAGCAGGTCTTACAGAAAGAATCCTGCACTGGAGTCCAAGTCTCTCAGGCACAGCGTTCTGTGGAAATGAGTGTCTCCACTGAGGTCCCTGGATCTTTCCAGAAATAAGCTTCCTTGTATGGGATGCACAGAAATGCACCCTACTGTTTTTCTACAGAACAGAAAGTGGATCGGGGGGAGGGTGTTCTAGGCACTTGCAGGTGGACAGTGATAAGGAAAGAACGGGACAGTGAAAGGTAGAGAAACGAGCCCACTAAAGCGTCCAGGCAGAGAGGGGCAACGGACACAAGCTGCCCACCCTGCCCACTCACGACCAGACAGAGCAGGCCCAGGCCTCGGCCCAGCTGCCACCTTTGTGAGATCTCTGCGGTGGGAACTCACGTGGACAGGCCCTTGGTCGGCGTGGACCCCAAGTCAACAGAGGGGCCCCACGGGACATGCTCCTTCCATGGGGCCAGCGGGGCAGACCCATTGCTGGGGGTGCAAATGCATCTCCTCCCTGCCCTGATTTCTCATTCCATCAGAACATCTGGTCAGGGAAGGAGTCGAATTTCCCATGCCTGGCTTACACGTTGTTCAGCTTCAGAGAGAAATTCTAGTCCGTCTGTTCTCGCACTGTTCCTTCCATACTGATGATGCTGGAGAATAAAGATGGGAGGACTGTCACGCGCTTTGCCGTTCCATTCGTGGGGGTGGAGGGAGAGTGGGTGGTGTGCTAGGTAAGACAGGGCTCCCTTCCCATGAAGCAAGGCCAAGGCCGTCTGGCAGTGCAGGCAGCAACCTGCACATGACGTCTGTCCAAATAGGACACGGACAGAGCTAAGGTGCCGATGTCCCCACCCTCAGTCCATGGGAGATCTCCCTCCCGAGGAGGCAGGAGAGGGACAGGGACTGAGTCGAGAGCCCACACTGACCCACACGCACCCGGTGCCTCCTGCAGAAGGCCACAGATGGTTGTCAGAGCTTGCAGGCTGTGCTTGGCCTTCACGCAAATGGTGAATGTGCTTCCCTGGGCCAAGGGACACACACCACGGGAGATGGGGCATCTTAAACCGAATGGCGGGGGCTTCAGTACCCACTAGTGACCCACTTTGCTCCAAGACTTACAGCTCCCTCCTCAGAGGCCCCTGAGTGGAATAGGGGCGTCTGGGTTTCGGAGGCACTGACCAGGCTGATAGCCACGTCCTCCATGTGGCTAAGGGACTAGAATGGGAACTGTGTCCCTACTAGCATTTCCCACTCTTAAAAGGATATTTGAAGAATTTTTATAGTAGGAAAATTCATCTTAAATTGATTTTTTATGCTTGTGCTAAAGATCTCAACCTCTGATTTACTCTGTAGGTCTCCTTTTTAACTCTTTCTCTATTGGCATTAGGTAACTATTCATGGGTGAAATGTAATTAAACAGCTTTGCTTCTGAAGCAAGGATTTATGATACTACATTTAAAATGAATGGCATTAAACACACACATAAAACCAGATTTTTAAAGCCATGACACAAATTTCCATTTCTACAATAAAACGAAATTTATCCTCTGCCCTGCCCTCTCCTCCAGCCTCGCTTCGCACACCCCTGCACAAGCCGTGGTGTGACGGCAGTACGGCTCCGCCAGTGACTGTGCTTATTACCTAGGAGTCTCTGCAGGCTTCCTTACCGACCGGCCCTGAAGCCCCAGTGATTATGGGCTCCGCAGCCCACGCTCCCTTAAGCCCCCCAGCCCAGCCCTCCCAGGGAGCCTGCCATGCAACCAGCACGGAGACGCACACACCCGTCTGCGGGCCAGTGCCAGGCGTGGGAGCCCAGAGCCGGCAGCTGGCTGGCCAGCCCACAGGGCACACAAGAGCAGACCCTGCCCTGCTGTCAGCTGCGACCGTGTGGTAAGGGGCAGGCACATCGGAGTCGTTCTGCCTGAGACCTTCTCCCAGGATGCCACTCGTCATCAGTAAGAGTCACCCTAGGCCAATCCCAGGACACTGGAAGCCCCTGCCTTTTGTTAAACCTGGCAAGAGAGGGCTGGCTAGCAGCTGACCAATGAATTTGGCGTTGCTGAGCTTTTCCACACAGGACAGTAGACAGCACTGGGCACACCGCAATAGAGCAAACACGAAATGCTATGTGGTTCGGTTTAAGGGTTTCTTCAAGAAACATGCAGTTGCTGGCAATCCCCAACAACAGCCTCCAGGGGAAGCCCCGGGAACGCCGGCGTGATCGATAGCCCCGCGTCATGTTCCCGTGCCGTCGTGACCCCGTCCGTTCCGGCGCCTGGAGAAAGAATGTTCCGGTGAACTGTTTCAGATGTCAGCTTTGTCTATCAGCCCAAATCAGGATGCAGGAGAGTGGGGGAGTGCTCTAGAACAGACTTCTGAAATGTTTGTAATGATGCAGGGATGCCTTACCCACGTACACGGAGCGGAACCCACTCACAGCGTTACGCACAAGCCTAGATGGCATTCACGAGAAAGCTGTCCTTCCGGCCTGCAACCCAGCCTGCTGTCTCAACACATGGATTTCGGTTAGAAAGTGAGCGGACAGAGGCAGTGCCACACCAGCCACAGAGGAGGACAGGGGAGTGAACCAAGTTTAAAGGCACAAGGTTCCGAGCCGTCCATCTGCCTCATGGGAAGCCATCGGGTGTGTCGCCCCAGCCAGAGGGTGAGATCTGTTAAATTAGACATAACTGTGCATTTATCGCACAGGGCTCAGGCTAGTGGCAGCTGCAGAACCAGGAGCCCGCTGGGCAAAATGAGCCAGGCCGGCCAGCCCACCAGAAAGCCGCACCCAGGGTCTGCAATGGTACCAAGGGCTGGCGCGACACGAGGAAACCTGGAAGAACATTCCTGACCTCACGTCCTCCAGGATCTTCCCAACGCTATGAATTTGCTCAACACTTTAAAACTCAGTTTGGCAGGAGATTTGGGTATTTGGGTTTGGGGGCACCTCAAGACTTTGTTGGTAGTAAAGAATCACTAAATCTTCATTTCTCAATGAAGTCTACTTCCCAAAGACATTAAAATGTCATGTACTTGGCTTAAACCCCATTTGATGTAAGAAGACAGGCCAAAAGTTCTAAGCTACTCACATCTGATTAGCAGCATTAGCTACACCCAAGGGGCGGACATTCAAAAACCTCTCTTTTTTGACCCCAGGACTTTTCCAGTATTTCTGTCTTCCTGGGACAAAATTGAGTTTTATGGTTTGGGAACATGAACTGGTGATGCTAGAGGCTCACCCACGCAGAGCTCCAACCTTAGGAAAGAGTTCCAAAGACGCGTATTCTTTGGAGTTTATCTGGAATCTGGCAGCAAGTTGACTCAGGCTGTGTCCTTTAACAAGGCCGGGCAATCAGTCTGCGGGAAAACACATGGATAGCAGGGTACAGCCTGTAGTGGAAGGAAAAGCCCAGAGCCTTAGCCACATACAGCGTTTTGGACACCCTGACAATGAGAAACATGTCCCAAGCTGAGCTAGATAAGCAAATCTCCCCTTCTCTGGCTCTAGGACACAGTGTGGACTCCAGAGCAGAGCGCCAGACCCCACAGCATCAGGAAGGTGCACATTTTCAGCAAAACTTTAAAATTGCAATAGAGGCGATTTTAAAACATGTGGATACTGCTGCCAAGTATCACTGGCAAATGCACAATTATGTCTAATTTAACAGATCTCTAGCAGAGTCTCTTGTGTTTGTGTCTGATGGA